GTCGGGAAAAGATGCCAGCATTTTAGCACAAAAGTCTAACGTTAATACTGAGAACAACCTGTATCCACCTAACCAAAAACCAGGACGATACGGAACCATATTGTTTCTACAAGCGGTAGCGACGGTGGTCTAAGTTGTAATTTGGAGCGTGCAGTATTTGCCTAAGAAGATCAGTAAATGAGGAGGCACGGCTGACGTGTCAGACCAGTACAAAGAACTGCTAAACCGAAACACTGAAATCGACGCGTGTGCAGTTTTCCAGAAGAAGGACTGCGCGAGCGAATTAGAAACACCAAGTTAAACAGTCGCTTAGTGGGTAGTGTTTTAAGGGAACATCTTTGTCACACAGAATTCGAAAGTAAGTAAGAACACTCATTGACTGTCTAACAGTCAGATTCCGCTAGCCCAGGCTGAAGGAAGTTTCGTGAAACTCGACAGAATACGTAATACTTAATATGAAGAAATGCAAGGAGGGATCAACTGTAATGAGCAATTGCCCTAAAAGGCTGAGGTTCGAGAGATCACATAATTGGTTGACGGAGTCATGGTGACGCTCAGGCATCTACTCATGGTCTTTGCAACCTCGGTCTACATGAATTCTCTACTTTCCCCCATCAAACTGATTTCAACATTCCGATGTTCTCTCTACTCTTTCATTCAAATGGGCAGGCAATCAGAAGAAAGCAGCCAAAACAGCCATATGAAAGTGAATGTTTGTTCAAAATGAAACTAAATGGAACAGTACACAACATGACAGTAGACTAAAAAGGCAGCATTCTCTATGTAATTGCTCACAGGTTTATAAATAGTGATGAGATGCGTACGCACAGCTAGATTCTGTACAATGTGTTGATTAAAGAGGTTCACTACCGTCTACCTACCCTCAAAGAAGGCCTGCCTGTCTGCCACGTTCCCAATTAACTCGTGATCGTGAGGGATGATTACTGTAATAATAATTCTCAATAACTGTGACAACTGAAATACAAAACTTAAAACAACTAGATAAACTTACATTGCATGATTAGAAAACCTTTGGGAATAGATTTAGGAGAAATCGGCTGATCGCCACCAAGATGAAAACTCTGTCTGAGTGTTGGATACGTTACCGTCTGATGGGGAAACAAAAACATTGTGCAATCAGAAAAGGATTAACGATGTGATATTTCACATGGCTCTGATAAACGAGAAACATGTTTTATGCCTGAAATTGAGGCATGATCCCAGTTATCTACCTAAATGACTCATGGATTCTTGCATAGTGCGCGCCGCTTATTGAACACTGTTTTGATTGTAAACGCGAACGTTAAGACAGTCCTATCTGTCTTACAAGATACCCCATTACACTTCCTTGGCGATCAGTGAACTGGAAAATTACTTATATTTACACACTGTGTTCATTATTTTCATTCTAATACTGCGAGAATCAAGGATTTTTTAAAATAAGTCCGGTAAACAGTATTTATACCCGATAACCATTGCGCCGGGACCTTGTGCTGAAAGGCCCTCAGGATAAAATTATTTTAAATAAAATCAATGGCGAAAAGCATGCAACATTATAATAATAATACAATAATAATATAACAATATACAATATATAGAATATATATTGTACATAAAACATAATAATATATAATATACAGTGCAACTTCGAATGCTATTATAAAAAATCTATTGAGTACGATGGGGCGATCCGCTGACGATAACAGTATTCTGACTAATCTTTTGGGGCCCGCAAGACAGAGTTCATGAACGTTACGAATGAACTAAAGAAAATCTTTGTCAGGCATCCGGTTCACGAATACGGGCAAACACTGAGTCACACAAACAGACATAGTTCTTCTTTTCAGGGTTCTCTATTGCTGAGTGAGATTGCACAGTACTGGTTCCAGACCATCCAAACCTCTATCATTCAACAAAACTCTACCTTCGTCACACCCATCGTCCTGCGTACAATTAGAACGATGGAAAGCAAAATGTCACAGTAGATCGCTTATCACAGTGATGAATTTGCATTACAAATATTTATCTTAAATACGTTAATAGGTGGATGAGCGGAAATCAGATCGCCTCGGAGAACATAAAGATAGTTCATAAATGTGCAGATAAATAAATCTCATGAATACATGAGCACTAATGCCCACAACGCTAGAGGAATCCATCACTGTTTGTGAGGACTAAGCACTTGGAATTCAGACGACCACTTCAACCGATCTACGGGGCTTCGTTTTATCAGTTCTGATGATCGAAAAGTCATCCGGTATTTACTTGTACATTATAAGACACATTTTAATCAGTCTCAGAGCGCTATCCGCGGCTAAAACTGTGTCAAAAAACGGCGAATTCAACTCGAATAGCGTAACACGATAAACAAAGATGCTAACCTTTTTGGATATGATGGTTTCAGTATTCGACGATTGTTGATTTTCTCTTCTGGCACTTTTGACAGAGCCGCGTTTCTTCGATGGTATTATATCTTCGCTGATAAACACAGAAGACAGTGAAGTATGAGTCAAGTTTTGAGCACTCAAAAATCACGAATATCCACTATCGGGATACCATGTTTTGTCATCCCAAATTTGACACCATAAATACAAGACGACCACCAAAGTATATGTTTAAAGTGTGATGTCACGTAATGCTGAGCGACGACTCCTTCTGACTTGATCCTTAGCTTATTTATTACTAATGTGACATAAGCGTCGTTGACTCCAGTATGTACTTCTAAAGAACGGCCACTGTTTCCGAGTTAAGATGTTATCCAGGTGCCGAATGAGTATGTCACTGATACTCTTCGAGGGTGAACATTCAACACCCACCCCCGGGAGGGAATACGGTCATAGGGTAGAATACCGACCGACAGGAAACACCACTTGATCCTGCGCTGAAGATAGTCATCACAGAAGAAAGGCCTGTGAACTATCATTTGTTTAAAATAGTATCTTTTCTCTGTTCTAGGCATCCATTCCACACATGATACTAAAGCACATTTTTGCAATAGTTTTCCAGCTTAAACCGCACCATTCGTCGAACCCCTTTCACACTTAGCCATTACAGAAGAAAGGCCTGTGAACTAAGTGTGAAAGGGGTCCGACGAATGGTGCGATTTAAGCTGGAAAACTATTGCAAAAATGTGCTTTAGTATCATGTGTGGAATGGATGCCTAGAACAGAGAAAAGATGCTATTTTAAACAGCAGGTGATAACTCAAGAAACAATAAATAAATGATTTTATTCTGAAATTTTGTAAGCGCATTAATTTAAAAAGAATTATGATTACTAATCGTAAGGGAGGTGGATTCTAATAACTCGTCCTACTGCTTTAACCATGTTTGTACCATTTTCCGGATGTTCTGTATTATACTTTTCTCTGATGAACAGCAGGAGGGGTAAACTCCATAGTCACGAGGACCCACTGTCCACACATGGGAACCGGTAACCTAAGCCCCCGGAATTTAGAGTGGTGAACCACATAAGACCCCACTAGCGCAGGGTATCCATCTTAAGGGTAAACAAGCCTGTGGAGTGAAAATATCTGGTTGATCCCAACGGCGTTTGTTTGGAAGAGACCTGCGCGATTATGCATCCTTTTTAGGCGATTTTCTCGTACAGGAGAATAAATCAGCTTGGTAGATGAGCCCCTGAGGTTCATTGATCAATGAATGGTCATTGTGAGATAAACAGTGCTGCAATACCCACTCATTTTCTAATTAAATCTAGTTTACTAACCTTATGTGTTTCTACTTTTCATGGAGCTTTCACCTCTAAGTTATTTTAGCTACTTATTTCTCATTATTGATCACTAATGATCATACTGCGGTGTACATAGTTCCTCCCATTTATATCTGTTCATATTGCGTATTTCGACTTTTCCATGTCTTCTTCCTATTTCAGCTTCTATGCTCTATTGTTAAAAGGGGTTTAAGTCAACCATCCACACCCAGATCTAAGTTCTGAATGACGAGTGTTTGATCGAAACTCGCAATACTACAAGTATCTTGCACCATTACCGAGGTACTTGTAATCGAAGTGTGTAGCATAACAGACCACAGGATACGAAGTATAAGGCCAGCGGAGTAGTGCACTACCGAGTGTCTCTAGGTTATGGACATAATGGTTATTCCGGTGGTTAACTTTGGATAGATAGGCATTTCCGAGCAGAATAAACGGCTACGGACGATCAGCCTCGCTGTTACTAATTTGTTAACGATCTCTCTGGTGCATAAAGCCATGTCTGTAAACAACAACACCACTTCAACCCGTCAGTAAATGAAGTTACTGCTATCACCTTCTTACTCCAGAGAGAGCACTTGGATATATAAGGATCAAAGTTGTACACTTGAAAAGGAAAGCCGAGTGCGTGTGAGGATGTAACTTTTTACTATATTTTCGAGAACCTTTATGGATCCCTCCATGAAAGAAGAAACCACCTGATAGTAACAGTAAACACAAAAAGCAACAAAGAACTAAAATATTCGCCACCTACAAGATATACTAAACGCATTAAATTATAATTAATTAACAACAGTTTGCTTTACCAACCAGGAATACCCAACCCACCAGTTAACTCACGCGATGAAGTCATGTTTGTTTAAATTGCAAAATGCTGATCCAAAAGCCGCTTGAATATATAAGCAAAAAACTTGAGGCTTTTTGTGCTCGTCTGCCAGCTCCTCGAGAACACGATCCACTGTTAGCCAGGTAGAGTACCCCTCTTTGATGCACTCACAAGTTATAATGATAACATCATGTGTACAAAGTTGATTTTGAAGGTCAGATGAAATGTCAATCCTGTGGGCGGCCACACGAACCATCGGGTTCAAAGACTGAATACGTGCAAGAGACGCGTTGGCTCGCTGTAACAACCGGGTGCACTCAATAAAAACAGGAACTTACACTTTCACCTATAGCGTTCTCTGGAATAAGAAAGTTGGAAGCTGTGTCTAGAGGTGTGACAATCTGCTCATCGATAATATCCAGAGCAGCAACGCCGGAAAGAACTAAGTTCTTTGCAACCTCTGCCCCAACGGGAGACATTCCGTAAAGAAGGATTCGAGCCCGTTTTAATTTGTTTTGTGCCTCCAAACCCCATAATCGTATTTGTCTGTCATACAAGGCAGCTTCAGCCTCAGATATACAGGTAGAACTTTCCTTGCTATCAGAAACCTTTAGGTTCGATGGCGAGACTGTGCACATTTTGTAAAAACGAAATTCTTCTGGAAAAGGTAATCAACAAAAGGAAGTAAAAATGAAAAATGAAATGACAGTATGGGCTATAAACAAGGCAAGTTAGCTTCGTCTGTATTCAAAGTTCAACACCAGTACAAAAATTCACGAACGAATATTTGCTTAATAAGGAAACAAGAAACGATACTGTCAATAAAAATTCAAACACGTTATCATGTATCGGAACTCCGGTTTATTTCACAATTATTGTATTATTCGTTATGTATATGGATACACACTTAGATTGTGTACTCTGTGTGTTAAACACAGAGGTTCACTTTCTTTTCCGCCCTCCAATTAGGCTTAATCCCTCTTCATCTTATGTTTCATCACATGGTTTTTGTACATTGTGAGCTTGGTAGCAATCAGTGAAGTTTACTTCACTGTATCTCGCTGTAGGAAGATGATGATGGTATCACCAACAAGGGACAATTATCTAGTACCTACGCCTACGTGGACAACGTCATAATCTGTGGTATAGATGTGACGAAACACAATAGAAATCCGCAGAAATTGTTAGATGTGGCCAATAGATACACATTTAACGAAGCTAAGAGTGAGACAAATAAACATTTTGGGTTTTGAAGCTTCAAATCTGTAATCCTGAAAGACTCAAACCCTTAGGGGGCCTGCCCCCACGAAATGTGAAAGAACAGGCACGAGCATTAAGTACGTTCGTGTAATATTCACAATGGATATCACACTTTTCAGACAAGATCAAACCGCTGATCTAGAATCCATCATTCCCAATGTCCGAACCAGTCATACGGTGCGTTGAAAAACTAAAGCAATAACTCGAAAGCGCGATGGTATTCACTGTGGAACCCGGAATGCCCCTTGTTGTCAAGGCAGATGCCTCAGATGTTGCCACTGCTGCCACCTTTAACTAAAGTGGTAGACCGGTGGTGTTTTTATCTATAACACTAACACCACCTGAAAGGCATCATTCCGTGGACGAAAAAAAGCTTACGCCATGGTAGAAGCATTAAGAAAATGGAGACTATCTGCTACGAAACCATCTCAAGCTGGTCACCGATCAACGACCAGTCATGTTCATGTTCAAAAGCCAAAAGGCGAAATAAAAAACAAAAAATTTTAGCGCTAGAAAGTTGAACTGTCATGCATCTGATACAAGGTCATCTACCGATCGGGGTGTGACAATTTAGCGGCCGGCGCGTTTTCACGCGGCTGTTGTACAGCCGCTCCAGATCCCGACGTGCTAAAGGAGTTACTTGAGGCGCTGTCATCCAGGGATAACTCGTTCCCAGAAATTACCGTATCCTGTGGATGAGGTCCGACGCGTTTTCCAGTGCCAAGTATGCGCCGAGATTAAACCCAGGTTCTACAAACCGGTGAACACACCATCATTCAAAGCANGTTCGAAAGACTAAGTGTAGATTTCAAGGGTCCGCTGCTATCCTGCACACATACTAGATATCTATCGACGACCCTCGACGAATACTCCCGGTTTCCTTTCGTATGCGCCTGTCAAGACGTCCTCCTCAACAGTAATCAAGTGCTCCTGACAACTATTCTTTATCTTCGGATTGCCGAACTATATCCCCTAAGACCGCGGCTCCTCTTTCCTGTCACAAGAATTCAAGCTTTTGTTGCACTCCAAGGGCATCGCAACCGGCCGAACTACGACCTACACTCCGCAGACCAATGGTCAAGTGGAACGCCCGAACGGATCGTTGCGGCAATCATGTTAGCAATAAAGTCCAGAAATCTGAATGTCCGGCACTAGGAGGAGGTACTTTTAGACGTTCTTCATTCCACGTGCTTTTTGTTGTTCACAGTGATCAATGAGACACCTCATGAGCGAATGTTTCGACATAACAGCAAAGCAGAATCCGGAACATCATTATCCAGTTGGTTTGTACATTCCCACCATAGAAGACACAATCATCAACCAAATTATAACTCTTTGGTCGATGAAGTGCAACTGGTCGAATGTAACCCGAACTATAACCGCGTAATTCTTCCTGGGGAGGGGAGAGAAGAGAGTATCTGTTCGTTACCTTGCTCCCTTGCTACACAAACCCTATCATTTTACAACCTCAAGCCACATTCGACCAGCAGTGGCCCACAGCGATCCCCTCGTTAGAATCTAACCGCTCAAGAACACGATCCAGAAATCACTTGTGATAACACAGAAATTCAACATAACTAAAATATCACACGAGACTGTTGAAACTTTGTAGCAAATACAGCAGCGAGTCCATCCAAACTTACTGAGAAACAGAGAAGCTTAGTTTTGTATATTTACATTACACTCCTCCACACTAGATCGCTAACAAACTTTTACAGACACCTCGAAACACAACCAACTGTTCTACCAGCCGTCAATGTTTCTTACACTACACGCTTTTAGTATCATTCAGTTGCTGGCGGGGGTGAATTTCATGTATTGGAACTCCAGTTTATTTCACAATTCTTGTGTTATTTGTTAGGTGTCTATTATGTGTATTCGTATCCATCCTCTTTCCTAATGCATCAATATACTACATTCTTTAGTTGGTTAAGGCATACGATTCGACCTACCTCTTCTGTTGTACTCAGAGAATTTCACTGATTGGTGACCTACTACACACGTAACGTTACACGCAGAGTTGCGTGCCGCGATGACAGAGGACCTTGGGCGTCAGATGACGTTTACTTTGGACACTGTCTACCAAGTGATCGAGAACACTACTGGTTAATCTGTGCGACCAGAAAACTGCATTGACATCAATGACATTATCCTCATACAACAATAACAGCAAAGTCAACTTCATTCATTGCAATATAGGTTTCAATGCAAAAGGAGGAATGGAAGTTGATAAATAACAAATGAATATACTGGTGCATCAGTATCTCCGGAAGTAAAAATGTCAGATTCTAAAAGTTCTACGTCAATGCCTCCGTTTACAACGACTGCGGATATAAGTGATTAAAAGTTGCAGGTCTCCACCATAAATTGATAAGTACCTAGAAACCTGTGGAGTTCACGACTGCCCTATATCTTCATTTTTTTCAACTTCGTCTTAGAGGATGTTCTACAGAATGCTTTGTCTGGTCTAGCAAACGGTAGAGTCGAACTCATTCCAGGGAACAGAGTTCTTGACTTAGAATATGCAAATGATATCATCTTGTTGGAAGACGACGCACAGACGGCCTAACACGCTTTAAAACGCTTGGCGATAGAAGTGTCCAGGTGTAGTATGTACTTTGGACTATAAAATATATACATATATCACACTTGTCTGAGGAAAGACTGTATGCCAGGCAAATCATAGTACAATTATCTTTATAAAAAAGAAAAAAGTCCATGATTGGCTTGTGGGCTGAATACTGCCAGGTTGCCCAGGCCAGGGCAGGTGAATTTTCTCGAGGAATTCACAACCAGAGCACTATAAAAGTGCAAAATTTTGTCCAAGAATGGTAAAGGCAGTGCCTACACTCACCGTCTGTGGTGATCAGCTGAAAGTGTTTGAGAGCTTTAAGTACCTCGGGAGCTTGATCCCAGCTGGTGGAGTATCCAACCGCTGATGTCTTTGAAGCATTTCTTGTGTCTGGTGCGAACATCGGGGGAGCAATGATGAGATTAGTTGTCGTGTAATGGGTGCGGATAGTCGTTCCCTAAAAGAATCAATCGCCCTACATCGCGTCCGAAGGCTTGGTCGTGTTTTGCGTATGCCTGCCCATCGTATTCCTCTCTGTGCTCTCTTTGCACGTGATGGGCAAGGCTGGAAGAAACGCCACGGCGGTTAGACCATGACATGGCGTAGAGGTTTGAAGAAGCTAGCTTCAGCGCTGGCTTCGGTCGGTGTTCAAGGGATGAGGATTGTCGTTTATTAAAGACACTGAGACATAAGGCCCATAATAGAAATCAATTCGGAGAACGCTGGTGAAAACAATAAACTAACACACAAGAAATCAAAGAGTACGGTGAAACAAACAAAACAAAAAACATTGGTCCAGCCATGGCATGAGCTGGTTGTCGCAGTGGTACCACACACCATCCGTGCGATGGGTCCGGAATTCAAATCCGGAAAGGGACGGTGGATATGCACTACTGATGAGAGAGCGAAACTCGAGTCTGGTGCTTCTGAGTGCTGAACCGATGAACTTTTTTATTACACAAAGTGAATTACAGTAAACGGGGAAATCCCCATGTGCAAAATAGCA